TGTGTGTGTGTGTGTGTGTGTGTGTGTGTGTGTGTGTGTGTGTGTGTGTGTTTGTGACACCTTTGACTCCTTTTCCTTATGAGCGCACAGTACTTTTTTCCATCTGTCGTCTTTGCATTTCTGTCTGCGTTCCTCCGATTCACGTATCACATCATCGTTTAACACTGTTTCATTAAAACTATTTACACATTACAATAGTTGGCCTTTTTGTGTAGATTTTCGTGTCATTTGTCATATTCTGTCGTAACCTATTTAATGCGCTAATGATTTTAAATGGTGCGATATTATTAATATTAATGTATACCTACTTTTGCGCGCCCTATGTTTAAATAACAATGCTGTGGAATGGAGAATTACGTTGCTGCTCCCTGCTGTCGCTCAATCTACAAGTTTTTTGTTGTTGTGCATATTATTATACTGGAACTTGCCGAGCGTTTGCCGGGAGCTGTATCTAAACCGCTTCTGGTTTTAGTTTTAGTTTTAGTTTTAGTAGAGGTTTTACGGCGCTCGCAACTGCATAAGGTCAGATGAGCGCCAGAAGATTAGAGGTGTTACAAGAGAGTAACATACACCAAAAAGAAGGAGGGGAGATACGGACGATAGATGTTTGCTAGAAAAGAAGAAGCAGCAAACCACACCAGAGCACCCGCCAACCACCCACCAGGGTAGAAGATCAAGGGGAAGACCAAATGGAACCTGGAGAAGAGTCACAGAAATAGATGTACAGAAAAGTGGGAAGACATGGAGAGACACCAGGCAAATAGCCCAGGAAAGAGTTTCTTCTGGCTTGAAGCCAACACATTTCCGGGTTTACTTCACGCCTTGTTTCAAGTTTATATATTATTTTCATTCAAGTACTCATGTTGGGAGTCTCATTCAAAACTGTGCAAGATGTGGGGAATGGTCAAAACTCAGCCTAATAAAATAATAATGTTTTGTAACGACTCAGTCGGCATTGTTATTTATTTCTTATTTTATACCAGCTAGCTTCTAAAATTAATAAATCCTTTCCTTATCTCTATTTGCGTCTATCGTTTGCCAACTTATTTTTAAAATCGTCGGCTCATGTATTGGCTGGCCTATTTGTATGTAACCTGTTTATATACACGAGCGCTCCAAACCCGCTGTGAGAAGACGGTCAAAGGCATGAGACCGAAACCGGAAATTCCCGTAAATCTACATATTGTATAACTGAACACATTTCTTCTTACACATTTGATCTTAATGAAAATATAATAGTGCAACACTACGTTTCAAGTTATGGGTACTGGAAAAGTTTCATATTTGTTCATTCTTTAGCTTCTGAGAATATACTGTTTGCAAAAGTTGGCCTTAGCTCCATTAGTAGTAAGATTTTCGAACCGTGTGGTTTCTCTGTCCGAACTCTATAATGCCTCTTGTTTCTAAAAGGCTGTAGATCTACCCGTACTTTTCAGCAGCTTGCTCTTCTGGGGAAAGTGTTCAGATATAAATTTGAAACAACACTCCAGATTCACCAGCATAAAATTTGAGTGAAACTTGTTTACAACCCCCCCCCCCCCCCCCAAATCACACACACGCTCTCACCCCGTAGACACAATTCAGATTATTTAGGAGGCAGGCTTATTCGACCCCAGCTGTTATGGACAACCCGAGCTTATCATTAAAATGCAATAGCCCAGCAGACAGATGGAGTTACTCGATAATATAACTTCCCCAAACAGGAGTCGAGATTAAGTCGTTTTTGCACCCCGCATAATTTAGCAAAATTTGATAATTTTTTGCATAATTTCTGATTATTTTCCTTTATCATTTTTTGTTAAAATTAACAGAATCGCACAATTTCACATTTTTGGGCTGAGTTTGCATAATTTCAGAATTTTTCTTGCATATAACGACGGGGACAGGTCTGCGCGCAATAGCAAAACAGGCGTTACCAACATACGCCTATCCCAGACTCATTGGTTAAAGTCGGAAGTGTCAACTCAACATGACAGCACAAACAATAACAACAAGAGCAGCGGCGACAACAGAAGTAGCCACAAGGGGTAAAACAACAACGACAACGCTAAAAACTATTTAAAAAACCCACCAAAAAAAATCCCCAGCAACACCTCAGCTGGAATTTTGCATCCATTATGAGCTCGGAAGGACCCCCCCCCCCCCCCAAAAAAAAAAAAAAAAAACCACACAAAAAAAACAACAAAAACCTCCAAGCTAAGCCTCGTGCCGTGAAAGACTTTAGTGCCTTTCACTTCGTCAATCTCTTTGTTAGTCTGTGTATCAAACTGCCTAAAGAAGCAACAACGTTTCTTTTCTATAGAAATAGAAGTCTGATGTGTGTGTCGGTGTCCAAGTTGTGCCTCAACCATTCTCCGCACTGACCTCAGGAGATACTATAACAGTGCCTTTTTTTCTTTTAATTCCCACAAAGGTAGAAGATAGATAGACAGACAGAAGACACAAGCATAGATGGATAGCCAGACTGACACAAGACAGACCGACAGACCGACCGACAGACAGACAGACAAATAGATAGATAGATAGATAGATAGATAGATAGATAGATAGATAGATAGATAGATAGATTTTGTGTGTGCAGAAGACAGAAACAATTAAAGAAGGACAAAAAGGAGTAAGGAAGGAGGAGTGATTCTCCAAACAGGGAACACGTGTAAGAAATGGGTGGCGTCCAATGATCAGATGTTTTTCTTGTCGAGTTGACCCGGCTCATTGTTAAAGTCCTTAGTTTACCTGTGCACGGTGATTGATATTCAAGGGACGCCAGTAAAATTACACGAGAACGTATTACAAAAGCTATCGATCAATTTCTCCAATAAAAGGAGGCAAATCCCTTTGGCTTAAAGAGAACAAACAGACAAACTGTAGGAGATTTGTTAATATTCCCTGAGAGGCCGACAGCTGGATATATAGTGTTGCAGCATAAAGAAGAAGGACATTGTAATGCCAAAATGACTCACATCCCCTCCTCCCTGCAAGTATTTTTCACATAAAAAGAACCCCACTCACCATATTTGAGACAGCGTGGTGGCATCAGGCTCTCGTCAATTTTTGGGCATGTAGAGTTATTGGTATCATCTTAAAGCTTGTTCACTTATCTTTATTTGGATGAAAAAATATCCATTTATCTTGAATACAAGTCAAGATATTTCCAAAAGACGGAGGTAGAGGTCCCTTGTTTTCAGAGGTGCAATTAGTGAGAAACTGGTCGCATTAGATTAGTTATTTCCTTAGCTTAGGAGTCCGTGGTTACTGAAATTTTACAGTTTTTGTGCCTTTTATCAACGTTTTTCAGAAAAATTCACACAGAAATGAGTTTTTTAGTGGGCATGAAAGGTGTTGAGGCAAAAAACAAAAAATTGATAAAAATTCATAAACGTGCGGAAAAATGCGAGTTTCTTCACTTTGATTATTTTGACGAGAGCCTGATTCCACCACGCTGCCTCACTTATATCCTTTTAATAGACCAAAAAACTCCCATGTTTTCCTCCTCAAGATCCAAAGTATACAACATACCCACACTCAAGGAATCAAGTACGTTCAGCATTTTATCCATGTGTACATAACAGAAGATCTATTGCTTTCAACAGTTTGCTTTGTACTCGACGATTATAAACGCAATATATTTTTATGTCATTCCCTTAAGAATCAAGGTCTAGAGGTTGGCTTCTTCTTCCTGCTGTCTATTAGCCACACCCCTGATCTTAGGATAGGTAAAATCTAACTCAAAGCCTTTTCGGATAAGGGCAAAAAATTCATGTGCAAGTTGAGCTCGTTAAAGATCCCTTGGAGCTCCGAAATCGATAAGAGTGGGGTTTGGCCGCCACTCGGGCTAAATTCAAAATTGATTGCTACCAAACTGAAAATGTTTAGGCCCTAATGTGCCCCGCGCGCGCATATGACCTATCGCAGTTGGTAGCGCCTTAAAAGACTTACCAAAACAAAAACAAAGCAAAAAAAAAGGAAATCGGCCTCCTACAGAAATTAACGTCAAACATGTTATAGCCAGCACCCTCTTTTGCCACTTCTAAGAGGTGAACATTTTCGTACCGCCCACCTACATTTATTTCCTAGCTGTGCATTGAATAACAAATGTCACTGCCCGGGTCCCTCCATCGCCCATGAAATATACCAAATCGACCACAAAT